AACATTGAGTTTTCCAACTTGCGTAAATGCAGAGGAAAAGGCGGTGTGCACATCCTGGAAGAGTAAACAGTAACATGGACTCTGGTACTGGGCCTGCAACAAACCAAGATGCCAACTTTATATAGATCCCAGCAACGCCATCAGTGGACCCAGCAACATCAGCCATACCATCTCAGGTTCATACTCCTGCTCGTCCTCTAATATGATTTATGCCATCATGTGTCAGCAGTGCCCATCCACCAATGTTCCCTCTAAGCTGTTGAATCTTGTGAGCAAAAATTCTACTTTGTGAGCTACTGCCATTAAAGTTGTGAGTGAGCGATTTGGCTACTGTATAAATTAGTTTGCTCTGGAGCCATCCTTCCTGAGCTAAGACAAAAGTGTGTGAGCTGGAAGCTAAAAAACTGTGAGCTAGCTCACACTAACTCAGCTTAGAGGGAACACTGCCTTCCACCCTCTACATTGGACAAGCAGGCCAGTCCCTACGGCAAAGAATAAATGGGCATAAAACTGACTGTAGAAACCACAACATTCAGAAAACAGTGGGGAACATTTTAACCCTCTAGGACATTCAGTTGCTGACCTAAGAGTAGCAGTTGTCTTACAAAAGAATTTCAAAGGGAGATTTAGAAAGAGAGACTGCTGAATTGCTACTGATAATAAAGCTCAAGACAATGCATCCTTCTGAACTGAATCGAGACCTAGGTTTCCTATCTCATTACCAATACTGATTTCTCCATACTACCCCTCTGCATATCACACCCAATCCAGTCACACCTGCTGTTGTCATTTGGCATCTCAAATCACTCCACTCTCTAAGATATGACAGATGGACTCACATTTTAGCTATATCTGAAGAAGTGAGCAGTGACTCATGAAAGCTCATACCCTGTCACAAATTTTGTTAGCCTTTAAGATGCTACTGGACTCTTGCTCTCACCCTGGAAGAGTTTGGCACTTGTGTGAAGTTACCTACTTCCATTAGCACTGAACACAAACCCTTTCCTCACTGAATAACCCTAATTGTATATGACTATGATCATGTCACTAGAACACCTTTTTAGTCAAGCAAAGCTATTCAAAACATTTTGGGTAGCAGAAACATTTTTCCCTGGTTGTTATGAATATTTAGTTTCTTAATAAAGCATACAGAACAGTGGGCAGTATTTGTTTGGGGGGGGGAAGCATTTTCCCCAATGAGTCTCTTTCAGAAAGGTGAAAAAAAATGCTGAGTTCTTATCTCAGGCCTTTGAAACTCAACCGTTATAATGTTAAATATTGCCTTATTTTTAATCTGTTGAAACAATACATTGAACTCATTTTCCAAGGATTGCATTTATATTGCTGCTTTAGTGAAAGAGACTTACCGCTATACCAAAAATAAATTTGATGGTAGGACGTGTTAAAGTAACTCAGTAAGCTTTTTCAAGAACTAGTGTCTAAGGTTTGAATGCATTCCTATGAGAAATAAAATGCACTGATAAGACTCCTGGAAGAACCAAATCACTTGTCTTAAAATCAAGGCAATCACCATAATCCTTAAACTGCTTACACAGATGAGTAGTAAAGTAGGTTAGTTGGCACTGATATACTGCTTTAACTCTCGGGTAGTGTATTTGAGGTTGGGTGAAATCCAAAAAGGTAGCTAGCTACAATTTACACAAAGTATTGCAAGAGAATTAACATTCTATAGTGCATTCTGAAAGTGATTCCAGTTTTGCTGGGTCAAAGAGATTAGCAGTGCAATCCTAGACAGTTGGATTCAAGTCCACCTTAGCATTGTTGAGACCATCACCTTAAAGACCATCAAGATTTTTTGGGTATAAGCTTTTGATAGTCACAGCTCCAACTCTCAAAAGCTTATACTCTAAAAATCTTGTTGGTCTCTAAGATGCTGCTGGACTTGAGTCTAACTGTTCTGTTGCAGACCAACACGGCTCCCCTCTGGAACTATCCTAGACAGAGTTACACCTTCCTAAATTCAGGGCTATTTTTGGGCAGGAACGCACAGGAACGGCGTTCCGGCTGGCTCCCAAGTTGGCCACACCCAGGAGGAACTCATTAGCATAATAGGCCACACCATAATAAGCCACACCCAACAGCAGAAACTCATTAGGATTGGCTACATTAGGGGTGTGTGGCCTAACATGCAAAGGAGTTCCTGCTCCAAAAAAAGCCCTGGGTTTTGACAACAAACAAGGTAAACAGAATAAGAAGCAAAAGGTGGGTGTGGCTGGATGACCACACTTCTGGTATGATGGGGGTGAGGCCTAGTATGCTAATGAGTGGTGTTGTCAGGGGTGTGGCCCAATAGGCTAATGAGTTTCTGCTGGGCTTTTTCTACAAAAAAAGCCCTGCCTAAATCAATTGAAGTCAATGGTCTTAGAAGAGGTGTAGATGATAGGGATTGCACTGTAGGTTTCCTTTTGTTTTCTAATGTTAAGAAGAACTTTTCAGTGCTACGGTTTATGTTACACCATTTTGTAACCACACAAATACATCAGGTATGTATGTCGCCGTTTTATGTTTAAGATGTAGATGTTCCAGTAGTTATGGGTCTGTAAGCAGTAAAAGCTTTTAAAAAGCAACGCTGATAATTCCTATAATATTAAAAATGAACATTTGACAAAGGTGCCCTGCAGTTCAAAAATCTTCAAGCCGCATTGGTAGTGGGTAAAAGGCTGCCTTGGTAACACTTGGATCAAATGAATTTTTCTCCTGCCATCATGTGCTGAATAAAATGTGCAATCTGGTTTGGAACAAAAGGGAAGGATCTATAAATAGGTAACTGAGCTTTCCTTAGGATATGTAACATATAGACATATAGACTGGGTCTCTCTCTTGGGGTCTTTTTTATTTAAAAAAAAAGCTCCTCTTTAATGAGTCTGAATCTCCATGCACTTGAACTTCTTTTTGAGGCTATACCAAGAATCCAAAGCTATTTAAAGGTGACCGTCCGTTTATCTGCAGGAAATGTGTGACCTTTCGTGTGAAAGCGTACAGGGTTTTTTTTTTGTGAATCTTCAAAATAAATACAGTTTACTACTATAGTGACACTACACATACAGTTCTCAGTTCCAAACTGAGCTTTCCATGGTAGGCTCAGCTAGCTACCTCTTCTTCCTTTTCTGTTGGCTTTGCTGGTCTTCTTTAGTGTAACAGAGCATGGTCCTGTTTCGGATCTTTTCTCTTTCCTAACTTCTCGTATACATTTCTGCTCTAGCAATGAAATTAGGAATAATAAGAAAGGGGACCCGCGAAAATCGCGGTGGGAGGAGCGGGGGAGCTCCACACAGAGCAAGAGGAGGAGGAAGAAGCAGGTAAGCTTCCCCCCTCCCATCGGTTCCCCCGTCTCCTCCACCCCCCCTCAACTACCACCCCCGGCTTGCCGCCCCCCCAGTCTCTCTCTTTCCCCCCGTTCCCCCCCCGCGGCTTGCGGCCTCCAGGCCTCGCTGGTCTCTCCCCCCCGCTTCAAAGCGAGGCCCGCGGCTTGCAGCCGCCGGGCCTCGCCGGGCCTCCCCGCCGCCGCCTCCTCAAAGCGACTGGTCGCTCGCTCCCTTCCCCCACCTGAACCGAGGCAGTTTGCAGAGCGGTCCCTGTGCATGTGCAGGGGATGCTCTGTGACTTTTGGGGGGATTTAAGTATCCCCCCGATTTTTTTTTCAGGTTTTAAGATTTTTGTGCACACCTGGGGACCGTCCCATGTGTGCACAAAAATCTCCCTCCCCCCAAGTGCCCCCGGTGCGCGGATTTAGGTATCCACACGCACGGGGCCCACTTCGCTATTAGATATATAGATGTATACTGTAATTATATTTTATTGGAAGGATCTTTATATAAGATTTAACTTGTATATTACTGTGTAAATTGGGTGTAAATTGTAATCTGCTTGGGCCATCTTGGTAGGTTCTGTATCATTTTCAAGAGTTCAGGAAATAAAAATAATAGAGCAGCTTAGAATCTGATCCCAAGATCTGCTGTGTCACTATTATAACGTTTAATTCAGTTAATAAATTAACTTGAATTCCAGTAATTTGTTCTAAATAATTGAATTTTCCTAGTGCCAATGGCTAGGAAGAGTAATAATAATTGTAAGAAATTGTTTGGAAGCCCTTACAAAGTCTAAGAATGTTAAATATAAAATTTAAGTAACATATTGGGTTCACTTGATCTCAGTTGTTAATAAATGGCGAAAAACACATTATCGTTTTTGAATTAGAATCAGAATGTTAAATCTGTTTTCTTTTTGCAATTAATAATACTAGCATTTAATGGCTTTTAAAATGTTTGCTTTCCCAAAGTTGGAATTGATTTTTTGAAATTTTGCAGCCCTACATCTTTGTGCAAAGTGTCTAATATTTGCAGTAAGTTTAGGAAGATTAGGTCTCATTAAACAAAGGCATGGAACATAGTTTATTTTCCTTATTGCCAGTGAAACAACTATTAGTGACTTTGTTCACAGTGTATGGAAAAATTATTATTTTTTGTTGGTTGATGGAGAAAGAGTAAGACAGAAACTGCAAAGTTTGACTGGACTTTGAGATTAATTACTGTCTTATTAATTAAGATAACAATGTAGAAGCCCTTCATTAAATCATACAAAAAGTTCTTTGTTGGTCCCTGGAGAGCATTTTATATGCATGGCCTGTTGTGTGGGTTGGCAAGTGTCACTGGGATTCATATGCATTGCTTGTCTAATTACAGTAAATGTTGCAAGTCCAGATATGGTTTAAAAGTTGGATGGGCTTTTTGCTACTTGGTGGAAATTACTTAAAGCCCTCCATAGGCAGCTGTTCACAGGTCCTTCACCTCTTCCCCAGAGATGCTCAAAAGACTCTGTTGTTAGACCCTGTCTTTTGTGTCAGAGGCAGTAAACATGACAGGTTCCTTGGGAGCCATCTGTTTTAAGATGGTTGCTCCTTTGTATGCAGCTATGAACTTGAGATCTGTTTTTTGTCTGGCTTTATACTAACAATTTTTTTTCCTTTGGTGCCACAACAGGTGGAAGTTGATGGGATAAACCTTAGTGTGACTGGTGAGTGGAACTTGACTTCAGCACTCTTGCCAGTTACTGTGGATGGGATCCAGAGAACTGTACAGGTAAATACTGCTCTTTTCTTTCACCCGTATAGTTCTGGAAAGATTGGCTGCATTTCAGATTGTATTTGCAAACATTTAATCTTCCATTTATTATTTATTTATTAAATTACATTTATTAATCGCCTAATCCCCATGACCGTGGGGTTCTAGGCGATGTATAACATTCTAAAATCATAAAAACATATAAAAATCATCCAGCATTATACAATAATTTAAAAGCAAATGGCAGAAATGTTTACGATTCCCTCCCATCTAGTCTGTGAGTGCTTTGCACACCGGGGGGGGGGTGTCCCTAAGGAACCGGGGTTTAGATAGGGTGCCAGCCATGATGTTAATTGTCACTGTCCTCAACTGAATGCCTGGCGGAGCATCTCTACCTTGCAGGCCCTGTGGAATTGCATAAAAAGAAGAAGAGATTGGATTTATACCCCACCCTTCACTTGGAGTCTCAGAGGGGCTTACAGACTCCTTTCCCTTCCCCTCCTCACAACAAACACCCTGTGAGGTAGGTGGGGCTGAGAGAGCTCTGAGAGATCTGTCCTTGAGAGAACAGCTTTAACAGAACTATGGCTTGCCCAAGGTCATCCAGCAGTGGAGTGCGGAATCAAACCTGGTTCTCCCAGATTAGAGTCCACGCACTTAACCACTACACTAAACTGGCTCTCCCGCAGGCCCCTGATGTTATTTGGCAGAGAGTTCTACCAGGTCGGGTCCAGGGCCAAAAAGGCCCTGGCCCTGGTTGAGGACAGCCAGATATCTCTAGGGCTGGGGACCACCAGCAAGTTTTTCTGTGAAGAACATAATGCTCTCCTGGTGGTGTAATGGAGGAGGCAGTCCCACAGATATGTCGGTCCCAGAACCCCTCTCCTCTTTGCCCACATTTTTGTAGTTTTGGGGAACGATGATGCCAAATGGCTGTAGGAACACCTGGGATTGCAGGTAGACCCTCCAGTGTTGACTTTTAAATGTCAAGCTGTATTAAAATGGCAACTAAATACAGTGCCCTAAGTTACGTATCATTTTATTGTGACCACTAAAGTCGGAATGGTAGAAATATGGTCTGTAACTTTATTTCTACTCACTAAATAAATTATTTCTAATATTTTAATTCCATGCTATTGTTAGATGTACACAAATAATTGTTGTCATGTATGGCATAGTGGTATCTTTTTAGTACGTCTAAAATATGAAATAAATAATAAATATGAAATCAGTACATTTGTTTTTATGAATAGGGGAAAATAGCAATTATTAATCATATTTTATTTTCCTAGTTGCCAATCATATTTGCAATTAAATGTGTAGATCTCTGAAATAACTCCTTTTAAATAAGTTAACAGCATTTAATTGTTGATACTTATTGACAACTGTAATTCGAAACATTAATTATGATAAAATGTGTTGGCTTTTGTATTGCAGTATTTGAAAGCTTGGCTTTCCCCCCATTCTTTGGATGATAATAGTCTTTGCTTTATGTGTCTGTTCTTAATAAGCCCAGGAGGAAAAACTGGTTCTTATTTTCCATTCTCTGTGGTTTTTTAGTCTTTTAAAAATTAGATCAGATTAGATATCTTATTAGTTCCAAAAAGTTTAAACACGCCTAATAGGTGGAAACTGCGGGGTAGGGGTGGACCTATTTTAGTACCTCCTTCCCTTTCCCCAGGCTGTACCTCCCCACAATTCCATTCCCTACTTGATACCATTCCAAAATGCAGTACTGCTTTTCAGACACACAGAATGATTGCTGTCATGCAGGGCTATTTTTAGGCAGGAACGCGCAGGAATGGAGTTCTGGCTGGCTTCAGAGTTGGCCACGCCCACTACAGCCAAAACCTCTGCATGCGTGGCTACAGAGGGAAGGCCTGGAGAGCACTCCCCCGGTGACTCCAAGGTGGGTGGGCCAGGGTGGGCCCTGGAAGGATGAGGGAGGCATTTAAATGCCTCCCTGTGCCTTCCCCAGCCTGTCCAAGGGCCAGCTTGTCCGGACTCCCTGCAGCCACAGCGCCCAGGCAAGCCAAGGGAAAGCATGGGGTTGTGGCCCAATATGCTAATGAGATGTGCTGTCTGGGGTGTGACCTAATATGCTAATGAGTTTCTGCTGTTCGGTATGGCCTATTATGCTAATGAGTTCCTGCTGGGCTTTTTCTACAAAAAAAGCCCTGCTGTCATGTCTGGTTTTTCCCTTACTGTATGATAATTTCATGCTGAGCATAAAATCTTAGTAGACTTGTAACTTCTGTTCTGCTACTGTATACATGTAATAACTGTACATATCCTTTTATGAATGACAGTGCAGGTGAAGCGAGGCTATCTTGGTATTCCAAAAAGACAACAATTTGGGATGATAAAACTGTATTTGAGTTTATATTATACATAGTTTTTCCCACTGCTCTTTAATTTCCAGATTTGCAGGATTTAGGGTAGGTTTTACACATTGAACCTTGCATTTTGGCATATTTGTGAGCAGCCTTTACATGTGACTGGCAGCTAAATCCTAAGACCTTAATACTGGCTCATCACTGACATGGCTGGCACAGCTAGTCGATATTCTGTTCTTTCCCAGCAAAGGAGAGAAAAGAAGAAATTCAGTGCCAAGTTGCAGAAAGCATAGCAGTTGCAGTGGAATCCATAGAATCCTTGTCATCACCCACGAGTCCCAGTGTGACATGTTGATGATGCCCCCATAAGAGGCAGAGAGGGAAGCAGTTAACCTGTGTTCATGGCCCCAACCTCTGATAGCAGCACAGCAGAACAGTGAGATGCACACTGGTTAGAGCAAGCACACAGAAGCGCAGTAATGAATAGCAGCAAACTAGTGGGCTTCTGACTTGCGCAGATGACACTTTTGCAGTTCCTCCAACCCCCCCCCCTGTGCTTTGGGGGTCTCCATGTGGTGTGATGCCCCTCTTGGGGCTTTCTACATTGTGCACAGTAACTGAAGAAGTAGATATAGGAAGGGGGGGGCAAGAAAGATCTCAGTTCTTCTTTATGCTGATGACATGGTCCTGTTGTCCTTAACTGGAACTGGCCTGAAAAGGTCACTGTCTAGGCTCAGCGCTTTCTGCAAGGAGGAGCACCTACAAATTAACTACTCGAAGACTAAGGTGATAGTTTTCGGGAAGTGGCGGCACATTTTTAGCTGGATGGGTTTCTGATAGATCAAAACCTTTAAATACTTGGGTATTACCTTTAGCGACATGGTTTCCTGGAAGGCACATACAGACATCGTAAAATCAACAGCATTTTGGGCTATGGGGACAATCCTTAAATTTTATCATTCCAAAGGGGGGCACCAGATAGAACCAGCCCTAAAGCTCTTCTAGAGTAAGATAATTACCCAACTTTTATATGGTGTCGAGGTTTGGGGATGGAACGATTTCCTGGTCACAAATTTGGAGAAAGTCCAAAAAAAATTTCTAAAAAGGCTGTTAGGACTTCCCCCAAATACTCCAGCTGCGCTGCTGAGAGCTGAAGTGGGTCTTCCCTCCCTTCAGGCTCGTGCTCAGAAAATCTTTTTTAACTATTGGCACAGATTGAAAAGAGCTCCAGCAGATAATCTTGCCAGCCTCTGTTTTTTCTGAAAGCTTGAAAGACCCTAATTGGCAATCTAAGTATAATACAGTCCTTTAGATGTATAATTTACTGGATGTTGTCCGTAGAACCTTTCAGGCCAATTTTGGTGGCAAGGTGCAAATATACACACTTGATACTGGCCTAGACAGAGAAGTTATAGTAAAAAAATAAATCATCTCCTTGTTATAAATTGATTAAAGTTGATCATTGTAGGGCACTTTAGTTGACTAAAATTCCTTTCCTCAACTTGCGTTAAGCTTTTACATCCCTCTACTTCCAAACCAAGCAAACAGCAGTGCTGGAAAGCTAATACACCAAAATACCAGCAACTGAACGCCTTTGCATATGTGGTGGCCTAGACTGTGAAGATCTGTGTCATTACCTGCTGGATTGTCCACTCTATTCATCCCCAAGAAAGACGTTTCTTGGCACAGTCTTAGATAAATTGGTCCCCTGCTCCACATCTGGAAAAGTTATAACTTTAGTTCCAGAAGTGGAGCCAGAGTATTCGTACAAGTGTGCACTTTTTGCCCTAGTGGCAATGAAAATTTGAATCAAGTCGACTAAATCTTTGCCTGCTAAATAGCTATGGCTATGTTAAGGTATATAAAGTCCTTTCTCCAAACCCCATATTTATTCTGTAGTTTTAGTTTTTTATCTCATATTGTTTTAAGAATGTAGCCAGGTTTATGGTTGACACATATTTTATATTTTTAATACCTGTGTTTTAATGCAGATTTTGTTCTGTATTTTATAGCTTCTACTGTATTATACTGTATTTGTAACGGCCATTGGCTATATGCAATAAATTGAAATTGGATTGGATATAGGAAGGGGGGAAATATATGGTTGTAGTGTTCACTGCTTGAGGCAGGGTGTCCCCTCCCCACACTTAACTGTGCATTGTCCTTGGTTCCTTTGGAGGAGTTGAGCTCCCCTTTGGTCTAATTGTCTTGAGATGGAGTGCCTGTAAAGATTGTAAACAGAACAAACATGTTACAGCAGTGTTTGTTCTTGTCCTTGACTGTTGGTTCAAAGTGTTCCCTTTCTGTGCCTCACCACCGTCTCCCCATGTGTGTTCAAAGTGTGCATGACATGAGGCCTGATCTACATGCACGATTTGGTATCCTAAGATATCTTGAGGCTTGGAAGCAGGGTGGAAGAGTGCATGAGGGAATTTGTATTTTCACTCACAGTGGGTTCTAGGCAGAGGTCATTTCGAGGGGGATCGCAGTTCCCCGGGTGAGGTACGGGGGGCGGGGCACATGACAAAGCCCCGCCCCCTGCTTCCGGCCGCCCCGCTTCTGGCCCTCATTCAGCCAGGAGGAGGCAGGAGAAGAGGGAGGGTAAGTTGCTTCCTCCCTGACTCTCCCCACCTCTGCCTGCCTGGGGCCAGGGAGGGCCTTTGCGGTGTTCCTTGCACTCCCGCTGGCCTTGCAGGTCCACCGCTGGGCCCCTCATGGGGCTCGGCAGTGGAGCTGCAAGGCCGGCGGCGGCGGCTGGGACCGTTGGGGGTGGGGTGTGTGGCCTTATGACACACTTCCAGTGATGTCAGGGGGTGTGGCCTTATGACACACGTCCGGTGATGTCAGTGTGTGTCATATGCTAATGAGTTATGCTAATGAGTTCCCCTAGCTCTTTTTCTACGAAATGACCCCTGGTTCTTGGGGATTTTATAAAAATATGCTAGTATAACATTATGACAGCATTGGAGAGCTGACTGAGAGAGGCTTCAGAAGACGACTTAAGCCCCTTCTGCCAAAGACATACCCATGCTGTTGCCCGATCTGACATCTTTAGCCCTGTGAAGATGGGGTTTAAGATTGCTCTGTAGGTCTGTAAATTTGGATGGGACTACTTCCCTCTGCAGAAACTGCTGCCACAAGTAATTTGGAAGACTTGGCCCTTTTTTTATCATTAACATTTTATTGGTAGGATTAAAAAAGTTTTGAGAAGTCATAACTGTCAATTATTTATAACATTAGAAATTTACATAAGGATCATAAGAAAAGTTAAACATTCAAACCAATACACTAATTACAAAAACAAACAGCCCTTTTAATGACAAGTTTTGTGTCTATTTCTTTTTTCAGTATAAGACTTTTTAAAAATATTTTCATTAAAATATTTCACCACAATGAAATCAGCATTGTATTTGATGTGAAGACTCTAAAAAAAATCTCTTGCACACTGTCTGTGTCTCTCCACATGTGTGTACACATTTTGTGAGGGATTAAAATGACTTGTTCTTAAATGTATCACTAATTGACAGGATGCTAATGAGAGTGCAGTACATTACATTTAAGAGAATTAAGTCCTTGATTTTTGTTTCACTTTACCAACTTTGACAGCTTTATCAAGTAGTCTGTACCTGTTTACTTTGGCTTAATCTGATTAATTGTCGGCAGCTGGTACTTTGTTCTTCTTTCCAGTTTCCAAAACTTGATTGTTTTTCCCCCCAATCTGTGGGGAAAAGTGTATATTCCTGTTTCCTTTTTAAAAGTAAACGTCAGGATTTTTGTATGAATTTTTATTTCCCACATTTTCCATTCCATTAATCATTTTTTTTGAAATATGTCAAGTCTTGGCACATCTCCTTTGTTTTCCGGAGGCTGTAGAGAATGGAGTACTACAATGACCCCACTAGCTGAGGGAAAAAGAGATGGTTCAATGACAGCACTGCTTTATTTATATACATATAGCTATAAAGGTTATGTAGAAGGGGTACTTGACACCAGTAAATATTTTTGGGGAGGGGTGTGTACACACACACACACACACACACACACACTGTATATAATATTTTTCTATATATAAAACTTTTGGAGTTACATGCCTATGTGCTTGATTGCATCTGGTTGTACAGAGTACCTTGATCAATAGCTTCATTGCTTCATAAACTATTCTCAAAGATCAACATTTTATTAGTACTTGATTTAATATTGCCAAGTTCATTGTGTTTTGCTATTCATTATTGACCTTGGGATGGAACAATCAGGTTCCGATAACTGTTACATTGTCAAGCTCATCCAGGGACCTTGGACAGTCACTGTCTCACAGCATAAACTACTTCTTGATGACTGTGTAAGGTGAAACACCTTGGAGAAGGGTGAGAACCTTATAATAAAAAGACACATTACAGGAACTCTCAAAGAGCATTAGCACATCACAACTTTCCTTGTCTGGTTTACTATTATTATATGTGATGCCTCTTTTTACAGGGCCTGTATTGTTTGTTATTATGTTAATTATGTATATCCTGTCCTTCAACTGCCAGGCTCCCAATATAAAAATCTATGAGACTATTTAAAGTTATGCAGGGTTACTGTTGGCATAACATTACACTGGCATTAGGGATGTGACTGGGAAACAAAACAACTCAGCCATAAAAACAGTAGAACAGAATTAAATCAAACACCTATTTTAAAAAGGGGAGAAGGGCTGAAGACACCTCTTCACCTTCACACAAATAAAATAGGACAACAGTGTTTCCCCCCCCCCCCCCCAGTAAATAGAAGTTATTTTACCTAAGACTTAAAGTATCAGGTATTCAAGGCAAGGGCATTCCAAAGACAATAAACTAGTACAGAATAGGGCCTCTCTCTTTGGTCCTTGCTTAAGAAGGTAGGAGAAGAGCTTCAACAGATGATAAACGTAGTTTCTTGTGTGACAGAAGGGCCTGGTTTCTTGATTTTGAGTTGTGCATCGTTGTCACAAAACACTACTGAGTCTTTCTTTAGCCCGTGGGGAAAGTGTACTATTTTCAAAAGTAAATCTGCTGTAGACTACAGGTTCAGTGGGAAGTGACAAGACCAAGTAGGTTACAGCAGTGACTAATTATTGGATTTTCCCATTGTTTTGGTCAGTGATTAGACCATTATGCGTTAACCAAACCTGTTGTAATGAATCACATTTTGATTAAAGTTTGACTTGATTATTGTCACCCAACTTTCTCTGTCATAACATAATATTTTGTAGGCATTCTCAGAAAAATTGCTCCTGATATTTATATAATGTAATTTAGTGACTGCTATGCCTATTTCTTTCAGTGCCTATCATGGGATGCCAGTGGAAACTTTAGCATTCAGTTCCTTGGTACAGTGGTAAGTACTAAAAGCTACTGAACTTTCTTTGTTAGAAAATATGTTAAGGACATAACGAATTTACTTCTGTTAATTTTTTTGTTACCCTTCCAAATCAGTATCATTCGTAAATGTGTGGCCAACCCTTTTTTGGCTCTTCCTCCTCCTGCTACAACCTAGTGACTTCCTGAAATACTTCTCAGGGGCAAGGGGAGATTGCACCTCATTTACTTTATCCCGCTGGATTTAGTGGGGAGCCTTTGAGAGATCCCACACTGGGGGTAAAGATGTCTGTAGATAAAGATGTACCATATATGCAGCCCAGCTCAAGTGGTCTTGGTCAGTATGTACATACATACACCACCTGTTAGAAAGGCAACCAATTTTCTAGTTATTCAATGAATATTGATCATCTTTGTAATGTAGGATATTTGAAGTAGGATAGTATGTCTGCATGGTAGTAAAATGCATGCTGAAATAGCTGACTGTTGACAATAACCTTGTTGAGCCAGAAAAATGCAGAGAATCAGGGCTATGGGATGAGCCAGTTTGGTGTAGTGGTTAAGTGCGCGGACTCTAATCTGGGAGAGCCGGGTTTGATTCCCCACTCCTCCACTTGCACCTGGCTGGATGACCTTGGGCAAGCCGTAGTTCTGATAAGAGCTGTTCTTGAAAAAGAGCAGTTTCTATCAAGAGCTCTCTCAGCCCCACCTACCTCTCAGGGTGTCTGTTGTGGGGAGGGGAAGGGAAAGGAGTTTGTAAGCCGCTCTGAGACACCTTTGGGTGGGGTATAAATCCAATCTCTTCTTCTTCTTCTATACTAAGTAAGCAGGCTCGTAGCCATACTACAGTGAATGCATGTACATCCTACATATACATGTGTGAGAGAAACATGTGTTCTCTTACAGATAATAATAGGGACCAGTACCTGTATAAACATGAGGTTTAAATCACACATTCAGCTGTACAAGCATTGAATTTAACCTGAGAATTACTCAGTGCATGTATGAAGACAAAACCAAGCATAACTGTATACAGCTAGTTGATCAGATTTGGTATATGCTTGAATGCTACTTAGAGATAAAAACCACTGGTTTCAGCAAATACTGCGAAGTTTTGTGCAGCAGTTTGTAAAATTCGCCAGATAGTGATGGCTTAAGTTTTTACATATACATATTACAGAATTTTAATAATTTTATCAATCATTTTATTTAACTTATACTTCCTTTTGAATTATAAGCTAATTTATATGTGAGGGTTAGTTTTAATTTGTGGTGGTTGGGAATCTTGCTGAGACTTGTGCAGGTCTATGACTGTTTTAATAAAAACTTTGACTTTGTATACTGATAGGAAACAGCAAAAGGGGGAAAAACCCAACCTGAGAAGCAAGTCAGGAACCTAGAAGGTTGAGCAGCTAAACAAGAGAATAAGATACATTTATTACAAAGTGCCCAGCAAATATAGATTTAAAAAATAGATAAAAACCACAAGGTAGTGGGTATCATGTTACATCCACAAAGCATACATCAGCACATGTAAGTTGCACGTATAGTAACTAAGACCAAAACACTGGTTACACAAAATAATCACTAGACCAAAAGCGTTTGGCCCAGAGGGCCTTCTTCAGTGGTCTACATAACAACAACATACACTAGAAATGTAAGTATAAAATATCTATTCCAAACCAGGCAGGTTGTGTGTGAATCAACTAAATAGTGAGGCTCCAAATAACAAAGTATTGATGTCAATCAGGCCTGCACACATAGAGGAGCCCAAGCCCATCAAAGATGATAGCTCTATACAACCATACTGCCCTTGGCCGTTGCTTTATTCAGTGTGTGTCCATGCATTAACCAAGTGTGTCATATGTACGGATAGTACATATGTTCATTGTAAAGTGTGTGTAGGACATCTGAGGCGATCTGTACAAGCTTTAATTTGTGGTATTTAGAAGATATTATTATTATTAGTAGTAGTAGTGGTAGTGGTAGTATATTTCCCCCTTTAATAGATAATACCACTTGATTGCCTTCTGAGCCATTTGAGGATGTGGCTTAAAACTTGCACTTTGACCCATTAACAGTTCTCTTGCAGTGTGTCTTGAGTACAGGGTAGTACACTTCAGGAAAGTTCTGCATCCATATGCCTGCATCTCTCTTTGTGTTTGGAGAATGAACTTCTCTATACAATGTACATACCACATACCACCTGTTCTGTACAGTTCAGTAACAGCTTGACTTGAATAAAATATGCATCCTTAGGTGAGGGGTGTATTAGTCAATTAGTTGTTTAGAGTTTGAGTTTCAGCCCTAGTGAGCAGCCTGGGACTGTTCTGTTGGCATACCACTGACCACTTTGTTAGCACTTTTTCTCAGAACTAGCTGTCTTGGAGAGCAATCATCCTGGTTGTCACAGGAGCATTGGTTGAAATAGTTCACTGGATGGTCCCCTCCATGAACTTAGATGGCTTAGATAGTCTGTTACTGTTTTGTTTTTCACATAAGGTACATGTACCAGCTGAAATAAGGCAACTGACAAATCAGGGAGGGCCTCTTTGTTGAGTCATTTTTGTTGGCTTCTCTAAATAAAACTTTGTTTCAAAGGACACATTTTTACAATTGTTTTAAAATGAAGTTCCAGGTATACAAATGCAATTTGTATTTGTGAGCAGTTTCTACATGTCACACAAGCATGACGACCCCTCGTCACTGTTACTCAAGTCGTCTAGCTTTGGCTGTCCGCCACCGTGCCCCACTTCCTGGAGGAACTGCAAAGGCCTCAGACTTGTGGGAGAGGAGGAGGTTACATCACCACCCTCTTCTCTCCCTTGGCAGGTCAGACAAAATCTCTCTCTCTCAGCTTTTCTGCTCGCCCATCGCCTGTGCCACATCCTCCCTGGCCTCTGCTCTTGGTCCTCTTTTATTCCTCCCTCATGTTACCCGCCCTCCAGCGTGCTCCCCCCCGCCCCTCCCACCGGGCCCCGTCCCCTCCTTTTATGCCAGGATGCTGAGCCGTGGGTCGTATGCCGGCTTGCCGGGTCTCAGGAGACTCGGCAGCCTCGTGATCGCCTGCCCCTGCCTTCCTGTGAGTGCCCAGGGACCCGGGGGGCGGGGTGTCGGGGGTACGGGAGCCCCGAGCGGCGGCAGCCCTCCCAGGGGAGGCACTCCCTCAGGACACTACATTTGTGCCCCACTCTCACCTTCAGTCTGCTGCCACATCTACAAACATGCAACCCCAAAAGATCCTTCATGTGATACAACTATCCCTGATTTCTGGTGTTGGGCAATCATAAATCACTGTCCATTTTTTTTTGCCTATTATGGAATGTATTATTAAAAGTGTTAAATGAGATACTGGAATTGCCATTCTTAGGAATTTAGCTTCTTTCCCAGAATAAAATATCTGAGCGGGAGCTGTTTTGGGTTTTTTAAAAACATGTATGTTAATGTATGCATGTGAATGCAAAGCACCATGAAACACAATGCATAACTTTCTGTTTTATACACTAATGTCCATGATACATTTTGACCACATGACCTCCCTTCTCTTCTCATCCAACAGGTAAAATGTATTTTATATTCACCTGTTTATTCTCCCTGAGCTAGCAGCAATTCCCCCCTATCCTTCAGGATATCTTTACATAGTGCTAAATTGCTAGGGTTGCCAACCTGCAGGTGGCATTTGAAGATATCCTGCTATTATAATTGATCTCTGACAGCCCTGTAGCCAGGGATTTTTCAGGGGTGGTGCTGGGGGAGCACTTTGTTGTTCAGTCGCACAGTCGAGCCCGACTCTTCATGACCCCATGGACCAGATCCCGCCAGGCCCTCCTGTCTTCCGCCACCCTCTGAAGTTTGCTCAATTTCATGTTCGTTGCATCTATGACACTGTCTAACCATCTCATCCTTTGCCTTCCCTTTCTTCTTTGACCTTCAATTTTTCCCAGCATCAGGGTCTTCTCCAGTGAGTTCTCCCTTCTCATTTGGTGGCCAAAGTATTTGAGCTTCAGTTTCATTATCTGGCCTTCCAGGGAACAGTCAGGGTTGATTTCTTTTAGGATTGACTAATTTGATCTTCTTGCAGTCCAAGGGACTCTCAAGAGTCTTCTCCAGCACCATAGTTCAAAAGCACGGCTAATTAAATTAAATGGCTCTGGTGAGTGGATGAATAGGTTGGCTCCCTGTCTGTAGCCCCGGCTGGCTCCAGCCCCTGCTTGGCGGCTGTGCTCCCCACACTGGGTTGCCAGGGACTTTTCTATGATCCTGGCAGCTCCCTCCCCAGTTTCCCTGCCACCTTTGGGCCCTTCCACCGCCAGATGGATCCCCTTGGTTGGCCACTCAAATGCCCTTTCTTGTTGCTCTTGCACCCTTGCCTAGCTTCCTTCTCTCAGTGCCCAGCTGCACGACTTGACAATCCCCATTTGGAGCCCCCCGCAAAATGGTTGCAGCAGCGAGGGTGGCCTGGAGCCCTTCTGGTGCCAACGCAGGTGGGAAGGACAGCAGTGGCAGGGCTCCATGGCCATGCCTTGTCCCAAGAAGAGGCCACGTGGCAGACCTAGCAAGCCCTGCACCCCTTCCCCCTGATGAAGGCACCAAGTGCCTGCTGCCCCCAGGCTGCCTTCAGCCCCTTGTCTGAAGGGTCAGCGCAGGGGACAGGCCCAAAGCAATTTTGCTAACCCTCCTTCCTTCCTCCTTCTACCCACCAAGAAACAAGAAGAGCAATAGGAAGTAAGGAGGGTTAGCAAAATCATTTTGGGCCAGCGCAGCTTAAACAATACCTGGCTGAAAGGGAAGATCGGGGAGGATTGGGGTGTGGCACTGCAGATACAAAGGGGGCACTGCCCTGTGTGCCCCACTGCTGGCTAGGGCCCTGATCTCTGAATAAGCAAGATCAGTTCCCCTGGAGAAAATGACTGCTTTGGAGAGTGGTCTCTATGGCATTGTACCCTACTGAGGTCCCTCCCTTCTCCAAACCCCACCTTCCCAGGGGTCCACCCATAAAATCTCCAGGTGTTTCTCAAC